ATTTTTAGTGGTTGTTTTGATAAAGTTTGAAAAGGGAGTAAATTTAAAAAGTGATATTTTTAAAGGGGTATTTTTTAAATTCTCCCAATATCATTCCTATTTTTATCATTAACAATATTATTTTTTTATCAAAAAATACTTAAAAGTACTAAAGAAAATTACTATCAAAATTGATTAATTCAACAATTAATCAACGAATAAATTCAAAAGATATGAATGTATGCTTCTATTGTATGATTTAAATAAATAACATGTAAAAATGTCATAAGCATTAAAATTTATTTAATCTATTTTTTTATAAATAATAAATAAATTAAAATAATTAAATAAATATACAACAACCCGCGCATATGCGCGGGACATTACCTAGTATATATATAAGAGAAGGAGAAGAAAGAGAGCAGCAGAGAGTTCCCACATGTCTTCTTTCCCTTTTAGGAATGTATAAGCTTTTTCCCTTTGGGATCTGTTTCCATATTCTAAACACATTACAAATACTTGCCTGATTAGATTATTACTAAACTCATTATGATACATACCTGATTAGATTATTACTAAAATGAAAATTTACTTTGTTTTCTTGCAGAAATTGTTTGAAAAATCAACCTTAAAGAAAAAAGAAAACTTTAATTTTTCTTGCAGAAATTATAATAAGTGAGAAAGGTTTGATTATAAGGGTAAGTGGACCACATAACTTGCAGTTAATTCATTACGGCTCGAACTCAGACCATAATAATATGGTCAGACACAACAAAAAAAAAAGTGGAGCTGCCTGGCGCCTGCTATTATGTTATTAGATGATGGCTTTATACAGAAATTTATAAAAATGGAAATGTGATTTGAAATTAAACTCATGCAGACGAGAGCTCTCTGCAAACGAAAGATACCGACGTAGCAAAAGCCGAATTTGGCAATGTTTTCGAAATGGGCGCATCACTGAAACCAAACCCACTTTGGGTCCGATTCATTGAGTTGGGTTATACATTAACTTGTTTTTCTTTTGATTTCTTCTTCTTCCCTTTTTTTCTTATTTATTTAAGAGAAAACTAAAGTAATAATGTATGAGTATTATATTTTAGTTATTAGCAGATGAAACCGACGTAGACTTGTGTTGTCAGATTTTTTTTTATATTGTTGAAGTTGTTTGTTTGACTTGTTATTCTTTGGGTTGAAAATCACAAGGAAACGTTCGATATTTCAACAATATATGTTACAACAAATAACAGATGGGTCTATGAATACAAAGATTTTGCAAAATGACCCCATCATTATGGTGATAATTACATATCTTTCCACCATAATTTGATAACTGCAGCCTCTCCAAACTCGAAACAAACCTAAAAAGAAGAAGAAGACTCTGTGTGGCTCATCCCATTTTTAAAAGTAAGAAATGATGATGGAGACATATGCTCTCTCTCTCTCTGTACATTGGAATAATGTTTGTTTATGATCACGTCAAGCATTGATCTCGGAGTTGCATTGGTTCTCTCTGCTGCAGCTTCTTCTTCCCCAGAACATGCTTGAACAAGTTGTTGTCTTCCCAAGCCTTTGCCCTTCTTCTATCTTCTCCTGCTCACTTGCTGTTCTTGAAGGAGACGATTCGCCCTGTTCTTCGCTATGCCTCTCTGCTGTTCCATGTGTCTCAAAGTTTGGACATGTTCCTTCGTTGCAGGTGCACATCGGAATGTTGACTGAAGGGAATGGGCTACACGTTACCGGACAGAACATATCAGACGAAACCGAAGCTGCCCTCGTCTTGCTGCTACGCTGTTCTGTTGTTGTTGGGCATGTCGGTGATGATTGATCTGTTGTGTCTCCCGTGTGAAGCATACATGGTGCACAGAACCCGAGTGACATAGGTAACTTCATTTCTCTGTTTAGGGAGCTTGGGAGCCGTTTAAACGAGACAATCCCGTGTCTACAAAGAGGGCAAGGGATTGACCCAGGCGGGTCAACTGTAACCGAGGGAACATTGCTCGAAGAGCAGAGGTATAACGCACATCTCACACATAGCTGATGCTCACAACCTGAAACACAAAACCCTCAACTTTTAGAGGACTTTAATAAACATGTCTAAAAGGGTATGACAAAAATTTAAACCGAACCTTCAGCAGCAACTGTGCATGTTCTTTCCAGGCAAACCGCACAGATATCAACCTCATCTGCAATGGTTGCAGACTGCAACCCGAACTCTCTGCAAGTAAATAGTCATACAAGAAGAGAAACCACCTGAGTCACATTGAAGCCAGAGTTTTGTTCTTAAAACTCAGATGGGGGTTTCTTCATTACCTTGCGATGTTGAGTATACTCAAAAGGGGCAATGATAAGTACTTGGAATGAGGAAACGCTGGAATGACAACATCCGATATTGGCGAAAGCAACGGTTCTAACCAATGACGGCTCCACATCCGTGCTATGTCAATAGGTAGCCACCTACAAACATTTTTTTGAAAGAAAAAAAAAAGTTTATATCTTAACAACGTCAAACATTTCCCTGAAACTGGTTCTGAACATGAAATGAAACATTAGAAGATTGTGATGGAATAACTTACCCGTTGCAGTTCAATGTCATCTTTCTTGCACCTCTTGCAAGAAGAATCTATTGAGAAACAAAGAAAATGAAGATTCTCACAACTCTTTTGTCTCCACAATACCAAAGCAAAAAAAGTGAGCTTAGTAATATTGTTAGTACCTGACAACATTTCAGATTCCCACCACAAGCGGCATAGTGTAAAGGCGTGCTTCCAGCTCCTGAAACGAAACAGAAGAGTTCAAGACTATTATAAAAATAATCTTATAGGCAAGAAAATAAATGGCGGATTGAGAGCTGAGACCAATCATATCCATAGATGTTCCATAATGAAATGTCACAGCGGAAACATTTGCTTCAAGATCAAGCAAAAGCTGCACACAGTCAAATAATCCATTCAAGGCAGCCATGTGAAGAGCAGTGATTCCACCATCAGCTGCCTTATTCACAAATTTAGACAATGCGCTGCACCATAAAACAATTACTTTTGTTGGAGCTAACCATGCAATTAACCAAACCTTACAAACATAGAAGAAAGATAGATTCCAAACAAAAACCTTTGCTCGGATTTGTTTTTCGCAGTGACCACACCAGTATCAGGAAGTGAGTTAAGTTTATCACTGGGTACAAAGTCAGCCAAGACAAGTCTAATACATCTGGCATGACCATTCACAGCAGCGAAATGAAGCGCTGTTCTTCCAGCTAAATAATCAGCTCTAGTAACCTTGAGAAAAGAAAGATTTATATAAGAGGTCAATAAGAAATAATAAAAAAACTGAAACTAAGTCTAACAACTAGTGATGAAAACAACTCACATTGCATCGGAAAAGCAGAAGAGTCTGCACAACTTCCCAATGTCCGTATCTACAAGCTTGCATCAATGCCGTCTGAAACAGAATCAGTAACCAACTGAGCATATTCTTAGCTTTTAGAGGATTCACTGAAGGACTCGAATTAGTATCCGTAAACTCGTGTAATTAGAAAAGTTGGATTACTTAGCCTAGTAGCTCAAACTTAGCCAAAGATTTCACATTTCACTATTCATACAAATCCCTAATTCTAGTGGAAAGAATCGAACTTGAATCGATGAATCAGCAGAGAATGAGCTAAACAGTTTACAAATCCGAAAAAAAACAAGTTGAATCTCGAATACCTGGCCGCAATAATTTCTGGAATTCACATCAGCTCCATTCTCGAGCAACAGCCCGACGATCTAACATGACAAGGGAAAAAAACGAAAACTTAACATCTGAAAAAAGAAGAAAGATTTAGACCAAAGTAAAGATTGAAAAACAAAGGAACCTCGTTATGGCCTTTGGCAGCTGCGAAATGCAAAGGAGAATTGAGACCACCGAAAGTAGAATACTTGGCGAGACAAGGATTACAATCAAGAAGCATCTTCGCCTCCACGAAATCCCCATCTCTCGCCGCCGACACCAATCTCTCGCCGGACGCCGAGCACCCAAATGAATTCCCCATCTATCTAGCTCTCTTTCTCTTTTTCTATATCTATCTAGCTTCTTCTTTCAACAGATGAGAATCTAATCCCTCTAGTCTCAAAACCTCAAATCCAATTGGATGTGACGATAAATTAGGTCAACCGTCGTGGAAAGATACACAGGGATGAAAGAATCTGCGATTTGATATTTAGATATAGAAATACTGAAACAGCACGCGAACTCTCTCTCTCTCTCTAATTTTGTCTGTATGAGACAAAAAGAAAGACAAGGAAGATGCAGGCGAAACATTTAACTTCAATTTACTATTTTACCCCTCAATCTCCACTTTCACTTGTCCCACTTATCCACGTGGCGTCTTCGTGATTCATCTTCCACTTTTTGCTTCCTTCTTAAATATATAAAAGAAAGAAATATGGAGCTACATATGGTGTTTAATGATCGATCATATAAAAATACATCAAATTCTAAGATTAGAGAAAAGAAAGAACATGACCACCATTTATTTGCTATCTTTTTAAAGATAGACATAACATAGTTTATAGAAATAAAGTTCAAATACCAAATCCCAAACTCTTGAAACGAAATTAACATCAATAAAACATAATAAAGAACTTAAGAAGCTATAAAGCTTTAACGATAGGTGGAAAACGCATTTCGGACGTTTCCTAGAGTATCAGTGACCATACTCTTAATATAGCTCATCAACTCTTCCGAGTTTGTGACACTGGTTTGGTAGGTCTTTACTTGATATGCAGCCGACACGAGACTTCCTTGTAATCCATGTGGCATCATCGTGAATCCGCAAGGCAAAAGTTTGATGTCGGACAAGTCTCCACCGTTTATTACAGCCGTAAAATATGGTGCTTCTATGCAAGCGTAGATTATCATTGCCCCTGATGCGTCCAAGTATGTTTCTTGAATCATATACCACTCTGTAGAACTAGTCCACTGTAATATAATTAAGTAAACTCTATTTATAAGTAAATGCTCAATAACTAGACAACTAAATCGTATGAAACTGGTTACATACCTCAATGCTGAAAACAGAAACTTCATTTCCTGGACTTGGAGATCTTTTGATACGGATAAGCTCTTTCATATCTCTAACAGAGTTCAGATGTTTCCATATATCTTGTTTTTTCGCACGGTTGATTAACCCAAAAATGACTTCTGGTGTAGCTTGCATTCTTGTCATACCAGTAGCACTAATGAAAACGCAAGGGATCCCTTTCATGTCTCGACTTTCTCGGTTGAACATTCTAATCTTACTGACCGAAGATCCAATTGTACCGAGGCGCTTCCACTTTTGTCTTGGTGTCCCGCAAACTCCCGTACAAAATGCGTAAACCATAGATGTAGATAGGTTAAGCAAGTTCGTATGACATATCGGGCCGAATACTACAAGCGATAAAACACATGGTTAGTGTAAGAACTTAGCTAAAATTGCTAAGCATAAAATAAGAAGAAAATCAAAATAAAAAATAAAAAATTAATACTTTGAATTTGGTGACCAAGTGAAGAAATCGAAATAGACCAAATGTTGTAGCAATGCTTTTGAAGAGCAGCAAGCCATCTATATGCACCAAACGCTGAATTTGATATGAAAATGTTTCTGACTTCTTCTTCCTTATAAACCCAGTGGTCGAGAACAGTGACCTACAAATAATAATTAAGTCATATATATTGAAGCTAAACATTACATGTAACGAGACTTATGAAAACTGAAATATACCTTGGAGATACCGTTGGCTACACGCTGGACAAGATATCCAGAAGGAAATCTCATGAAATTGGGGCGTGAGTGTCGTTCATATGAGCTAAAATACATAGAGATATATGCGATAACCCATGTATCATTCTCAATATGCATTGAGCGTCGAAGAAGCTTCACATTTCGAGTTTGAATTAACGGAGAGATTTGTGGCATAAAATCCACATTAAGCTACAATAATACAGATATAAATGATCATTAATTGTGAATTCCTAAAATTATAAAAAAAAAAAAAAAGTTAAATGTTTAGTACCAATTGAAATAATCGATGGTGAGATTCCATAGACACATCGGCGATGATTGATGGAAAGATTTTTTGCCAATTCACCTAAATAAACAAAGAAGATGATAAAGAAAAGGAAAATTAGATAGTATGATGATTTCATGTAGCTGATCATACTTACATGATTCGTAAGATTTTCCACAAGCAACGAAGCATCGAAGGGGACCAATGCAGAAGCTCTTGAGACCTCATGTACAAACCCAGGTGCATTTCTTGCAAACCAAGGAAAACATATAGAGTAATACTCGTCAAGATTTAGTCTCTCGTTACTTGTCCACATCGGAGTTCCTTGTCTCGAAAGAGAAACAACTTCTTTGAGTGAAAGTGAAGTCATAACTGCCACTGCGTAATGCCATTTCGACATAGATGCACCAACTGTAGGATAAAGGCTTCTAAATGAACTTAACCTCATTATAAAGCAAGTCAATGTATCAATCTCTGACCGGAGAAGAGCATTCTCCAATGATAGTTCACTTTCTTCAGTTGAAACGATGGGCCCATCACAAGATAAACAGATAGATGGAGATGAAGAGTTTAAGGCCTGAACCATGGCCATGTTCTCTGCCCTCAACAAATCATTATGTTGTTGTAGAAAGATCCTCATTTGATGATGATAATGGTACATATTTCACCTTTGAATCCATTACAAGAAAAAAATTAGTTAAACAATAGGTTTTCCTATTTTCCCTTCTCATAAAAATTGTTATTCCAAAACATGCAATAACATTTTGATATGCCATTTTAAAGATATATAGTAGCTAAGATGAAATTCAATATTTGATTTCGCTTAAAATCACAAATAACCGGTCAGTAGATCAAAATAAATAAAAAATTCATAATCATTGAACCTAAATTGAAAAGACTTGAAACTATAGTCAAAGATTTAATAAATTGTACCTACCTTGATGATTTCAATGAACTCCTCAAATGAAGAATATGTAGATATGAAACTTCAATGAAGTATTCTCTACTATTAAAGGGATATATAAATAAGTATACACATTAATTTTTCTTACAAAGAATAAAATCCTAGAAACATATTGTTATGCTATTTGAAGCATCTATAGTAATCAAGATACAAGCATAAGATCTGAAATATGGTGGATATCTAATCAATGGATCACAAATAGTTGGTTAAATTTTTATAGCAATCGGAAGACCCTATTGAAAAGACTCGAAACTTTAGTTGAAGATTTTTAAAAATTGTACCTTGAAGTTTTCACAGAACTCCTCCAACAATGAATCTGTAGATCTGAAGTTTCAGCAATTGCATGAGTGACTGAGTAATCTCCGAGACCATTACATATATATAAACGACAACACACAAAAGTAATAAAAATTAATTGCGGACGGTTATAAAATTAATTAAACATATTTTATTATCTTATTAAATGACACATTCACGAGATTCATATTTTTTTGACAAAATTGAGACAAATGGTCATCAATATTTATGGTAAAATTGGATTCCCCACCAAATGAACTTTTTCTTCTTTTATAGTTAATGATTATTATTTTAAAAATATGATATAATAATAATGTAATTATTTAATAATAGTTAATGAACGAGTGTAACATGATTTATCGGGGGTGCGTTTGTAACAGCCAATTATATATTATATATTGACCGAAAGGCAAGACGAAGCTAACGATGGAATCTGGAAACTCTTGGAAGGAGGTTATCCCTTCTGGCTCTCGTGTCTTTTACACATCAATTAGAAGGATAGCTTTCACTTACAAATTCTGACAGCATATCCTACATATGGCATTATGAGTATTTTGTAGGTACTAAATCAGTCGTGTCAATATGTCGTGCAAAAACCACAACTGCCCAATACACATAACCTATGATGTGATGGACCCTAAGCAAATCAAACTCCCACCCATCTTCATATTCATTTCCAAAATCAAATTTATAAATCAAATTACTTCACCTCATTTCTGTTTGTGTCTTCAAAACATAATTATCTTGGATATCTCAATTTATATTGTGCACTATTCGAACATTTTCATTTTTAACACCGAAATGGAGTAGGGTTGAAGAAAACCCCAATTTACTTTCTGAAGAAAGAAAATGTAGAAGTAGTTTGAAAATGCTCTTGACTTGCTTAAGCTACAAAATGGTTCCTTTAAAATTAAATTTGTTGAAATGTTAATGTGAAAATTTTGTATATTCAACCAATATTCAAATCATTCATCTGCAAAAAAAAAATATATATATATATATATATATATATATATATATTTAAACGAGTTGAACACTTTGCATAAATTTGTTAAATATTTTAGTTTTTAGAGTTAAATAAGATGAATCATTTTTCAACTATTTCATCTCAAGTAGTGAAAAATAAGTTGAATGTTCATCAAACTCTTTTAATTTAATATTTTGTGTTAACCATTTGGCAGCCCTAGAATCATCGTACATGGTATCTCTATAAATATTTTATGTCAACCTACAAATAAAGTACTCGTTGATTTGTTGATTAATAATATAAAATCTTATATAAATGTAAAATATGATCCCAATCAGCTTGAGTGGAAATCTTTTTTCTCTTAAAAAGTTATTAACAAAAATTTAAAACAATGTGTCGAATATTCGTAATAAACACTTTAATTTCCAAAACGATCGACTGGAAACCTTTTTCTCTTAAGAAGTCTAAAGAAAAACGAAACAAAGAGTAAAAAAATATTTTTTAAAAACAAAAAGAAGAAAACAAAATACTCATATTTTGTTTTATCAAAAAGAAAAAATACTCATATTATGATGTCACATCACAGCTTTCGCGTGACAAAGCAATTTAGGGAATCCAGCGCACGTTAGGTCCGTTATGATACACTGCACAATAGACACCGATACACACGTACCACAAAAAGAAAAAACGGACATTGACACGTGTAACTATTTAATTAGTTAATAGAAACCCACTTTTGTCACCCACTCTCAAATTAAGGTTTCCTTTTTTTTAACTCTTCTTTCTTACCGCCCTTCAATATCAAAACAATAAACAAATTACAGAGAAGAGAGACAGAGAGAGATCACTAATCATGGCTGTCGGAGATGATGATCTGGAGAACCGAATGTCGGCGAAAGATCGAGGGATCGGAAGCAGAGGCGGTGATCGGAATCGAATCGGGCCACCGCCTATGCCGGTAGCTTTGGCATCGTCTACTGAATTTGGCGATAACGCGTTGTCTTCGCAGTGGACGTCGTGGCTTGTTCCGGTGTTCGTTGCGGCTAACGTTGCGCTCTTCGTCGTCGCGATGTTCGTTAATAACTGTCCAGAGCATTTCGAGTCTCACCGTCTCAGAGGCCACTGTGTTGCCAAGTTCCTTGGGAGACTCTCCTTCGAGCCTCTCCGGAGTAATCCTCTCTTTGGTCCGTCTTCTAACACGTACGTTTCATCCCAATTTTTTTTTTTATTTGGTTCTCGATGATTTAGGGTTCGTGTGTGTATTACTACGTTTTTCATGTTCTGTTTCAGATTTTTTATTTTATTTGTGTCGGTTACTATGTCATCCTAGTATCATTGATTTAGTTAGGTGTTGAAATTTGAGATGTAAGTGATTTAGTTATGTGAATTTAAGAGACAAAACTTTTGACTTGATTATGTTTGGTTGATGATATATATAATACTTATGAAGATTGGAGAAGTTAGGAGCACTTGAGTGGAGCAAAGTTGTGGAGAAGAAGGAAGGTTGGCGTCTCCTGACATGTATATGGTTACACGCCGGTGTTATACATCTTGCAGCTAATATGCTAAGCCTCATCTTCATCGGTATCCGCCTCGAGCAGCAGTTTGGTTTTGGTATGCATTCCTTGTTGATTTACCCTTACAAGATTTTATAAACTTTCAGAAAATCTCTAGTCTTAATGTAATTCTATTGTTTAGAAATCTGAATCTTGGTTTTTTGCAGTTAGAATCGGAGTTATTTACCTGTTATCAGGAATTGGAGGGAGCATACTGTCCTCGTTGTTTATCAGAAACAGTATCTCTGTTGGAGCTTCTGGTGCTCTTTTTGGCCTCCTTGGTTCAATGCTTTCTGAACTTTTCACCAACTGGACTATCTACTCCAATAAGGTAATATATCATTGTTGGTTCTTGCTCATGCCTTGCTGTTTATGATCTGAAGAATTTGACTTTGGCTATTCTGGTGCAGGTTGCTGCACTCCTGACACTTGTGTTTGTCATATTGATAAACTTGGCAATTGGGATTCTGCCCCATGTTGACAACTTTGCTCATGTGGGTGGATTTATGACGGGGTTTCTCCTCGGTTTCATTCTCTTAGCTCGTCCCCAGTTCAAGTGGTTAGCAAGAGATCACATGCCACAAGGCACACCTCTGAGATACAAGTACAAGCCTTACCAATACTTATTGTGGCTCCTATCTCTCGCTCTATTGGTTGCAGGGTAAGTTTTGCAGCCACTCTGTCATTTCAATGTTGAAAATGTCCAATGTTATACTAAATATTTGTGGGGTTGGTACAGGTTCGTGGTGGCGCTGGTGATGCTATTCCGAGGAGAAAACGGCAATGATCACTGCCACTGGTGTCGCTACCTGCGCTGTGTTCCCACCTCAAAATGGCGTTGTGATGATATTTGATAAGTAAAGCAACATGTTTTTACTTTGTAAATGCTTATATAGAGACAACCTTTATCATCTCATTTTTTAGTGTTTCAGTATATTGTGTGAATTCTTCTTTATGTGTGTGTGACTTTTATTGAGATTTTTTACCGGAAGAATAGTTTGTTTAATAGGAAGGGTTATATCAATCAATTACATTGCTTTAAGTGGTGACTCCCACGTCTTGACTTGACATCACTTCAAATTATTGAAGTTTTATAATCAGACAAGTGTGGACCTTATAGCTTTGTTGGTACAAGTTCTGTACCGTTGGATCTAGTCAAATGAAAATACATAACACAGATTGATCAGTGTCAGTTTTGTACTCGTGTGTCGAAATCTAAGTTTACACATTCCACTCACCTTTCGCATCCTTTCGACTATTGAAAGAAAAGAGGATTAGAATTGAAAAACGAAGTATACATCTTCGTTTTCTCGCTCTGGTTTCGATCTAACCCATCAGAAACTCCTCTGTAACCCGAGATCCCGTTATCCGAACGCTGATCGAAAGATCGCTCTGCAGCTGCTGCGTAGTAGTAATACTGACCATGTATAGACCTCTTGTAGCCACTCTCTGAAGACAACTCTTGTAGCCTCTGTCTTGGTGCGCTTTGTGACCGGACTTTTGCTCTGTAAGACTCAGTGTTAGCCATGTAGTTAGGGTGATACCCAGAGTAGTACTCGTACTCGCTTCTCGTAGGCGTGAAGGGAGTTTTTCTCCTTGAACCGCCACTGCTGCTTCCTGTTCTAGACCTTAACTGTGGACTGCTCTCCACGCTTGTTGGAACCATAAGGGATCCTCTTTTCCTGGGTGACTCCCTTAAGTGAGGCTTCCAAGTGTCGACTTCTAGGATCTTGTCATCATCTTCATTGTACTGTGGTGCGTTCCATAGAGTCTCATCTGTCCTCCATTGGTCTAATAACCGGCTCGAACCCATCGGTGAGCGGTGGTGATTGTGGTCCATGGCAATGACTTTGCTGTATTCAGCCTCTGAAACGCGTCGTGCGTGTAAAGCTTGTGGGGAAGATGATGGGACCATTAACGTTGACGAGTGGAATGAGTCAGAAACGTGTGAAGAACGCGAGGCTCGAGCTCGAGCTTGGAGCCGAACCAGCGTTTGCATCCGACGCAGCATATCAGCCGTTTGTTTCCTTACTATGTGTCCCTTCACTAATGCTTGAAGCTTCACTAACGCCTTCAATGCTCTCAACGCCCTCCTCGCCTGAATTAATAACATTTTCTATTACACACCTAATTCAAATCCACAAAATACTACTTATAGTTTCCCCAACTAATATCATTTTCTTCTAAATGGTACAAACCTAATTTGTTTATATATCCGAAGCAATAATCTGATTAGAGAATCTCTGTCTATATTATGTGTTTGAAAATAAAATTAATTAAAACCAATCTGTAGTTTCACTTTTTGAGTTTTTTCAGTAAAATACATTTAGGAGTTTTCAGAAACTCAATAAATAAAATAAAAAAGGGAAAAGGAAACGTGACATCTTCTCATTATTACGTGTTGCTTACTAGGTTTAATGTAACAATTTATTCTTAAGATTCTGAATTTTGTGCACTAAAGCTAAATCCAGTTAGGTACGATTTGGTTTGAGATGATATATGCATATTTTCTGGGACCAGAAATGAGAATTTTTATCTAGACCATTAAATAGTGTCGGTAGAGAGGATCGTATCGGTTCGTAACAAGTTTCTTGGTTTCATTATTCATTTCATTTGTCTCCTTTCATAGTCTTGTTCCGGGGACCAATACAAAGAATACAAATTATGCTCATTGTTTCTATTTTCCATTAATTTTTGGCTAACTAGAAAAAAATCAACATCAGACAGCTAGCTATTCCAACACTTGGCTCAATAAATATTTGTGAGTTTTTTTTTTTTAATTTGAGTTTAAAGATTAAATTTAAAGAAGTAAGTAATAAACTCACCAAGTAGCCACGAAAAGCGGATTGAATCTTCCTCGCCGCTCTATACTCTTGAGTCCACCGACGATTACTCCGACATGTTTGAGACACCGAAGAGTTTCTACCGCCATTGGTGAGTCTCACGACTTCAGCCGCCGCACGAGCAGCAGCCAGTGCTGCCTCGGCCACCGCAGCTGTAGCAGCCGCGACGGCTATCGCATGCTTATCGGCGTCTGAGCTGTCTTCATCATCCCCACGTCTCTTGCTTTGATGAGAAGACGAACTACCATTCCTCGGATGTGAGGAGTTGGTAGTGAAGCTCCATCTTCGTCTGCTCGGTGCTGATTTCTCTTGCTTCTTGCTCCCAAACAGTCTTCCGAAGAAACCCATACTCACTTCATTGCCTCAACTGAACGTATGTCTGAATTTTCTAAGGCTGTGGGTCTTTTGCTTTGTTTTGAGTATAGAAAAAAAAGGAACAAAGACAAATGGGAATGGAGAAGCCAAAGCTGAGTGTTGTCAGTTGTGTAATGCAATTATATAGAGTTAGCTTTTAACACGGACCTTTAGGTCATGCGCGTTTGTTACACGCGTCGAAATATGCGCATACTTTTGACTCGGCGTCAATGCAAGTCAATAGGTCTATGACTCCGGTTTACTCAACCAAGTCTCTTTCGTTTGGTTTGGATGAAAGTTTAATCATCAAACCAACATCATTATACTTTTTTTTTTTTTTTTTTTTTTTTTTCTCATTAAGAAGCAAACACCTTACAAGCCCGTAGGCCAATGGCACGCAGGCCCAAAAAACATACACAGCCACAAAGGCCCACAAAGGCATACAAGCCCCACTTTACAAGGTCAAAAGACCACAACCAAGGAACGTAGTCCTGAGAAAGGAAAAGGAGGAAGAAAGGAGATGAAAGAAGGAGAAAAGGAAGAAAGGACCCGAGAAACCAGAAAAAGAAGCAGAGACAGGATGGGGAGTAAACAGACCAACCGATCCCACCACAAACTTACAAGCAACGGCACTCCATGGGAGGCAAGACCTGCGATAAGGAGGATACAACAAGGAGGGGAGGAAGGTTAAAAGAGAGAGAACCAAGTGCCAAGCAGAGACAAAGCTGGCAGAACAATCCGCTGAGTCCTCGAAAGGGGATCAAGGCGAGCCCGGATTGTCGCTTGAATCTCTCTTATGATGATGCCAGAGGGTTTTGAGATACCAGTGTGAATACGCGAGTTTCTCTCCTTCCAAATGAGATAAACAGAAGCTTGGAAGGTTAATTTAAGGATGAGAGCAATATTCTTGTCTCTTGAAGCATTATGAAGCCAGAGGAGACAATCCATGAACAGCGAGGGGGGGGACACGCTGATTGTAGTGGTGAAAAAGGACCAGATTGGGGAACTGAACTCGCAACAAAAGAAGAGATGGTCCCTGGACTCGTTATGAGTGTTACAAAGAGGACAAAGGGGAGAAATAGGCATCCCCCAACTCGTTAACATGTCTCTGGTGTGAAGGCGGTTCCAGGCCACCACCCAGGTAATAAAAGCATGCTTAGGGATCCTGTCTTTAAACCATACCATTTTATGCCAAGAGACATGAGGGCCATGAGGATGCAAGGACAGCCAAGTTTTTGCAGCAGAGAAGACGTTTGAGGGAGCATGATTATCCAGCTTCCATTGGTAGGAATCATCATGCGTACACTCAATCAAGCTCTCTGGATTTGGCAAGGCCTCCTTTAACATAGTTATAATTTGGTTCCTAGATCTGCTCCTAGAAATCCACCAAGTCCGGTCTCTTATAACATCCCTAACCACTGCCTTAATGGGGAGACCTGAAGTTTGCGGACCAAGGGGACCAGTTAGATCAATGAGGGGGCCAAGGCCAGTCCAATCATCATGCCAAAAGCTGGCAGTGATTCCCGAACCAACCTGGCAGACCAGAAAGGGTCTGGCCAAGGGTCTGAGCTTACACAGTTTCTTCCATATCCAACTGCCCGAGTTAGCTGGGTTGATTCCCCAGAAGTTTCTGTTCCTGATGAGGTTGTGTCTCACCCAGGAAACCCATAATGAACCAGCTGCAGAGAAGAGAAGCCAAATAAGCTTCAAGGCTAAAACCTTATTCCAATCCGAGAGACGCTTTAACCCAAGCCCACCACACTCTCTAGGAGAGCATACAGTTTCCCAAGATATCTTAGCTCCTCTTGCAGAATTTGGAGCACCCTTCCATAAGAAGGCATTACACATCTGTTCTAATCTTTGGAGACATTGGTTTGGGAAAAGAAAGACAGAAATCCAGAAGTTTATTGTGGAGTAAATGACTGACTTGAGAAGCTGAAGGCGACCTGCAAAGGAGAGGTGCCTAGCAGTGCAAGAGGTAAACCTGCTGTTAATCTTGTCGATCAAAGGCTGGTAGTCTTGTCTTTTCATTTTTTGGGACATGAGAGGAACTCCCAAGTAGCGGACAGGGAGGGAACCATGGGACACTCCATAGGTTTCAGATAGGCCTTTGCAGAAATCAAAATCCCCTCCATCAATCATTAGGGCAGTTTTGAGGCGATTAATTCCCAGTCCAGAGCCCTTCTTAAACTCGTCTAAAATGCCAAGAATGCCTTGAAGGGAAGGAGCAGAGCCATCGAAGAAGATAAGCACATCATCAGCAAAACTCAAGTGGGTAACAAGAGGGGCAAAGCATTTCGGGTGAGGGGTGAATTTATTGGCCGCTGCTCCAGCATCCAGAGACCTAGCCAGGATATCCATGACCAGGACAAAGAGGTGGGAAGACATAGGATCCCCCTGTCGAATGCCCTTTTTCCCCAGAAAATAACCAATCAGCTCACCATTGAAAGCAATGCTATACGAAGGAGTAGAAATGCACACAGAAATCCAGTTTATAAACACTTGAGGAAGATTAAGGGCTTTGAGAATGTTGATGAGAAAGGTCCAATTGATGTTATCATAAGCTTTTGTGAGGTCTATCTGTAAGCAACCTCTAGTTACCTCTCCCTCCACATGGAAGTTTTCAACCAACTCAGAAGCAAGGAGAACATTTTCACAAAGAAGACGCCCCTTAATAAAACCCACTTGGTTGCCTTGGACCGCCTCGGGTATAAACATCTTGAGTCTTCTAGAGATGATTCTGGTGATGGTTTTGTAGACTGTGTTACAACAAGCCACTGGTCTGAATTGAGACAACTGATCAGCTCCAGTGACCTTTGGAATAAGAGCAATGGCTGTAGCGTTGAACCTGGGAAGGAGATGGCCAGTCTTGAAAAACTCCATAACCGCCGCTACAGTGACCTCCTTTACAATCGACCAAGATTCCCAGAAAAATTCAGCCGGAAAGCCATCAGGGCCCGGCGCTTTGTTCTTAGGCATGGAGAATAGGGTTTGGATAATTTCCTCTTCAGAGGGAATACGGGAGAGATTACTAGTCAGGGTAGCATCGCATCTGAAAGGCTGGATATCCTGTATTCTGTCAACCGAGTACGGAGTAACTGCGCTATCAACAGATCCAAGGAGATGAGAGTAATAAGCGATTATCATCCCTTTGATTTGGCTGACATTAACCACCCTGATGTCATTTTCACCACGAAGGTAAGAGATTAAATTCCTGGCCTGATTTGCAATAACAGCCCTATGGAAGAACCTGGTATTAGCATCTCCTTCCTTCAGCCATCTAATCCTGGATTTCTGACGGTAGAAGGTCTCAAGAGCAAGGTCAAAGAAACGCCATTTTTTCCTAGCCACAAATTCTTGTCTGAAGAGAGCATCAGAAGGATTAGAGAGAAGATCCATTTGAATTTCTTCAAGGCAAGATAATGCGTCCTTGGTCCTCTGCTGGATATTACCAAAGCCTCTGTGGTTCAGAAGTTTGCATTCCTTTTTTGCCGAGTTTAACCTCTCTCCAAGTGTGAACTTGGCCGAACCCACCAGGATCTCCTCAGCCCACGCCACTGCTAAAGAGGACAAAAAGGTTGGATGGGTGGAGAGAAAAGAAAAATACTTGAAGCATTTCCTTCCTCTTTCTGGTTGATTATCCAAGATGACCATGATAGGAGAATGGTCAGACTCGCCCGGGGAGTCAAAGATTGCTAAGGCATCAGGATAAGAAGAGAGCCATTCACCATTAGCCATCACTCGATCCAGTTTCCTGATAATGGGATTAGCCTCCTGGTGATTAGACCAAGTGAAGAAGGCACCACGGCTAGAGATATCCTCAAGGTCATTATCCGAGAAACAATTTTGGATATCTTCAATTCCACGCAAAGAAAGATTGGAATGGTTGATGGAGTAATGCTCACTGGTAGAGGCAATTTGGTTAAAGTCTCCTAATAAAATCCAAGGAGTAAATTTCAGAGGAGAGGAAGAAGCAAGCCAAGAAATATCCTCCCAAAGAGTTTTCCTTTCAAGTTCTGAATTTCTGCCATAAACAAAGGTAGCAGCAAAGGAGCGAGGAGCATTAGGCAAATGAATGCTGCACTGGATCAATTGATCCGTCTTCATAAAAATCAAAACAGAGACCGAGGGATGCCAAACCAGCCAAATTCTCCCCAACTCAGAACAACAATAGTTACTAGCTAATCGCCAACCAGGCAAGGTAGCAGCCAGCACAGCAGACGAATTAGCCTCCGTCACATGTGTCTCCAAAAAACATCCTACTCTTAGGCCATTGGAAGAGACCCAATTCCTGACAACACGTTGACGGGCAAGATTATTTAAACCCCTTATATTCCAACAAAAAGTCTTCATATACTACCAAAAAATTATAAGAAGCCACGCTTCAGTGACGAGGAGATTCACTCGAGGCCTGGTCTCGAGTAGAAGAGGACTGTTTTGGCGCTGCAGAACCTGTTGAACGTATCCGGTTATGCCAAATTTTTTGAAGTTTCTTCTTTGCCTTTGAGGATAACACATCCCAGTCTGGAGGAAAGGGATAATCAGTCTCAGCAGGAGGCGAAGAGATGGTGGGTGAAGTAACCGGGACCATGGAGACCAAGGAAGCATTAGAAGGAGTAGGAGGATTAGAATCCTGATGCTTAGGTTTAGGCTCACTGATCTTTGGAGAAGGACCTGGACGTTTCTGAGGCTCAGAACGGGAAACCTCTGTGGCAGCTCCTGAAGGCTTAACTAGCTTCTTCTGCCAAATGAGGTCAGTGCTTAGCTTCCCTTTTAAAGAAAGAGGATCAGAGACCCTAGGGGGGGTACTAGCTGATCTTTTCTTGGAGCGTGATCATCTCCGACGAGAAGAGGAAGGAGCAATGGATGTAAGAGCTGATTGAGCGAGAGAGAGATTCCCATTCGAGTTCTTGTCCTGAGGAAGAGAGACGGTAGGGTGATTAACCACTTTGGAACCTACATGCAGATCTTTCTTGAAAGGTAGCTTTTTTAATAAGGGAGAGGGACAGCGACTAAGGAGATGTCCATATTTGCCACAATTCAAGCATTTCGGGGGAGGCCTTGGGTATTCAACCGGGACTCTTGCTGTGTTTCCTTGGACATCGCGAACAACAACAGCTGCCGGGAGAGGGGAGTTCAGATTGATCACCACTTTGACCTTGGTAGTACCAATATTGACCGGATCTAACCAAGACTTCTCCGTGTGGAAAGACTTGCCAATCCCGCTTGCTATGACACTGATGCCTTCAAGAGAGTAAAGTTGGGGCGGCACGTTTCTGAGAATCGCCCAAGTCGGAGCAGTTTGAAGTTTCTCCAGCTGGAGAGGCCCCTCTGCAGACCAAGGATAGACAGAACAGGAACAGTTCCCTGCCTGCCAAAAACCAATGTCAAGAACCCACTGCCTAGTAGTCGAAGCCGGAATGAAGATCAAAGCAGCCGTTTCAGATATGATTCGAACTGTGATGTTCCCATAGCGACCCCAAATTGGGTTTAAATCGGTGAAGATACGCTGAGAAGGAGGGCACAACCCATGAAATTGGGCAACAATGTGGCCTTTCCACATCTCTGCAGACTTCAAAATCACTGAAGGGGGAGCAACAACAACTGGGGTTCCGTCTTCCATGAAGGATGGGGGACTCATCTGTTTCAGATTTAGCAAGGAGGTTTTGAATCGAGAAGCCCAAGGAGATTTGCTGTTGGGACGAGAAGCTTTATCCTCCGACGACAACCCACTGGAGGATGGAATACTTAGAGGCGGATTCAAGGAGGAGGATGGTTGAACAATCTCCTGGGAAGATTTAATTTGCGGGTCCATTGAAGTGTTGGAAGCGACAAGAGGCTGGGTTACAGAGGAATTCAGAAGAGTATTCGAACTTTCTAGGAGCGTTGAAGCGGCCGCGGGGGAGGAGGTCTCGAACCCCTGCTTCGAGTTGAGGTGGATGGAAGCATCCTTGGGGGAGGAAGTCTCAGACCCCTGCTTCGATTTCAGGATAGCAGAAGCAACCACGGGGGAGGAAATCTCAGACCCCGGCTTCGAGTTCAGGATAGTAGAAGCAACCACGGGGGAGGAAATCTCAGACCCCTGCTTCGAAATAACTGGGCGAACCACCGTGGGTTCAGGAGACGGGGGAAGGGTTCCCTTAATCTCGACTGAGGCGGTAGAATCGCGAGGAGAAGAACTATCAATTGACTGAATCCCGTCAAAGGCAGAGCCGGGAGTCATTGGAAGCGTTCCAATAACTTCAACCGGAGAGGCGGGAGAAACAGTTGCACAAACGGAAGAGAGAGAAGCATGGCCGGGAGCGGACGGTAAAGAAATGGCCACGATCGGAGAACCAGCGAGGAGCGGAGCGGTAGAACTGGCCACAACACGGGCGAACTTGGACGAGATGGACGCCGGGTGATTGCGGATCTTCTGGCGGCTCTTCTTCTTAGGGATGGTCGCCTGCCGGCGAGAGGCCGGAGAGCGGAGGAGGGCAACCCTAATCGCCTAAAAAATCGCAGGAGAGAGAAAAACACTGTAGAATACTCCCTGTTCTCACCCAACATCATTATACTTTCTCAATGTGAATAATTATTTCTGAATCTCTTGGTAGTATTTTTTTATAAAAATTTGAAATTTGAATTGAGTATTTTTTTTGCCTGAAGTTGCATATGTAAAACTAACACGCCTGTTATAAAAGCAAGTCTATAATGATGCCAATTATAGAAAATATTCCGTAATAATGGTGAAAACGATATATAAATAGATTTTTCATAAGTATTGTTGAACAAACCGAACAGCATATACCAAATTCAAAACAAAACACTATATAGTGTATTTCTCATTATTTTTTATTTTTATTCGTCTTGTCTTTTGCAGACCGAACTCCCCAAATCCTCGGAACTGACCGTTGCTGAACTATGCACTTATCCCTGCACATTTCACAAAACATAGTCCATAAAAAATGTAACGACAAAAAACAAACAAAGACTATTGACTAAATTAATCGAACTACAAATCTATCAGTTCATTCAAATATGTTTCGATGGGATTATTTTTTTATAATAATATAATGAGAAAAGGTTTAATTGATGAATCATCTTACCACAATCGAAAGAGGGGAGGTTACAAAGAGAGGTAAGTGTGGTGGCTGCTCGAAGAGCGTTGCACAGACAATCTTTGTCAGTTGCTTGGAGGGCAGAACAGCAACGTGAATTTGGGGCCGGATTGACCGCACCAGGCAGAAGTAGCGGCGCACACACCTGCACATTGCTCAGCTTGTCTCTGCATTGTTGGGCTCGAACCGTAGGTTCGGTGGACAGAAACATGACAACGAGGATAGCTGCAAGGAACTTGAGAGATACCATTCTAAATAAGATAATAAATATATTGTTTTTTCTTATGTTTTTAATTAAGTTTTGGATATGTGTATATATTTATATGCATACGTTTTCAGCTTCGAGAACAATTAGATCAAGAAGTAAAGTGATGTTTTCTGTGATCTTGGTCTAGTTACTTCATAAGTTTTCCATGGCAAAAGAAAACTAAAAGGTAGGGGCGTAGGGGAGTATAACAAAGTGTGTGTGATGGTATGAGTTTCTTTTAGTTTTACAGATTAAGTAAGGTATAAATTTTAGTTTTCCATCCCATTAGATAAGGTACCAAAATATTAAGAAAATCTAAAGTTTTAAGGCATACATATATAGCCTTAAAAGTTGGCTTAAAGAAAACATGCGAACATACGTAAAGCACAGAAAGAGACGGAGCAAAAGCAAAAATGGGACACAATGTACAACCTAAAGCAACTAGAATCGATGTTACCTTTGTAATGGGAGAGCCTAGATGGCAATGAGCTCTTTGGGATGTAATCCAGAAACCACTGCAGCTTCTCGTGCCTGATTCCAAACAATGAGTTCTTATCCCTAGTAGCTACATTAACATAACCAAACATAAAAAAGCAAGTTATGTTGAACAGTTATGACATATAAAAAAAAAAACTAGAATATGGAAATATTGAAAATTTAACCAGACCTGAGGATCAGATCAACATTGACCAGCTTACCAGCAAATCCTGAAGCTTCCACACCCTCTGTTGTTGTTTTCGTTGTTGAGAGAGCAAAACAGATTTCTCTGGATGGCCACTTACCGTTGATTTGATATTAGAAACTCCTCCTACCATTGTAACCACTACGCCTTAAGGCCAAATAAATCCACCATAAGACTGCAAGACTGCATCATCTCTGAAAAAATCTACCTGGAGTAAACAGAACATACCCAAATTGTGTAGAGCTGAAGAGTGATTTACGAGACATAGCAAAATCAAACATGAACATAGAGCAATTCGTATTGGTAAATCAAAACACAACTTATAGCAATTATAATTGGAGTTACCTCTGTAATGGTGATGGCAATGAGTTCAAACAAGCTTCAACACTTTGGGATGTGCCTTTACCTCCCTCATCCATAAACCATGATAGATTCTCGTTCTTGATACGTAACTTTGAGTTCTTGTTCCCGGTAGCTAGCTACGTACAGATATACCTATAAAATGTAACAAAAAAATAAGAAGAGCTCACTCATAACCAAGCTGCGTTGAACAATTATGTTAAAATAAAAACCAAACACCATGATGCTAATACATTAAAAACTTAACCATACCAGAGGATTGTCAAGTAACAGTAGAGTAACCTTCTTACCATTTATCAGCAATTCTTGAAGCTCCCAAAATCCAGATGGATGAATTCTAACAATAACCTGCATCGAGAAGTTAAAGGACCAAAACAGTGAGTGATACGTACAGTTAAGTTTTGAGGAGAACAATAACATTCGCTTGACGACATAAGATAAGGGTGAGATACCTATCAAACGGTCAGAACTCAGAAGAACATAAAAGAATAAGTTACCGTAGAAGATATAACACACCACGAACAGAAGAGAAGAGACGAAACTGCTGTGTGTTTTCTTGCGATGTACCAATCACAAGTCCCGCTGGAAACAAAACATAACAAAAAAATCTTGCATAAATAGAGTTGAAGGACAAAAAGTAATCCTGTTTTTATGTAAGAAGGAAACCAAATACAAAAAGCATACGATAAATCATAACCAAAGGGATGATGCAAAATCTGAGATAAAGATCAATCATTGAAAAAAAAAAAGATACATGATGCTAAAACTTAAAACGCTGAAAATTAACCATACCTGAGAATCAACATTGACATGCTTACCCAGCAATTCCTGACGCTTCCACATTTTTTTGTTGTGATTGAGAGAGCAAAAAGAGATTCCATCATAATCTCACTCCTTTATGTGATATGCTATCAAACAATCCTGCATAAATAGAGCAAAAGAAAAGAGGGAACGTGAACAGATTGAATGATATTTCTAATTGGTAAAAATTGTGAAGTTTGGTATTACAAGACTATGAAAGTAGAGTCAAAACCTAACCTCAATCAAGATTTGGCAACTGAGAAAATCTTGGGACCATTCTGCTGCTACGTAGATACACCTGAAAATAAAAGCATACCAAAGTAAAAAGAAAGAGACGAATTTGAAATATTTGCTAATTGAAATTTGAAATATCATACAAGTTGCAAAGTAAGAGTTTTGATATCAGAAACTCTACCACTGAAACCCAACGCTTTGAGGCCGAAGTTGATCAAACAAATACACCATAAGACTGCATTATCTCTGAATATACCCACCTGGAACAAACAAAACATACCAAAATTGTGTAGAGCTGAAGAGTCGTGAATTAAGAGACAGAGCAAAGCAAACATGAGTAACTCAAAACGCAACTTAAAGAAACTACAATTTAAAGTTACTTTAGTAATGGTGATGGGCTGATGGCAATGAGTTCGAACAAGCTTCAACACTTTGGGATGTGCCTTTACCTCCCTCATCCAGATAACCATGATAGATTCTCGTTCGTGATACAGACCTTTGAGTTGTTGTTCCCATACAGATCACCTACAAAGAAAAGCTCACTTATAAGTCATAACCAAGCTGTGTTGAACAATTATGTTATAAATATGAAAACATGATTTTAAAAAATCTAACCATACCTGAGGATCTTTCAAGTAGCAGTTCTTACCACTTACCATAAGCTGCCACAAACCATAGGGATGAATTTTAACAGATAACCTGCATCGAGAACTTAAAGGATAGCAGATAGTGAGTGATACGCACAAGTCTTGAGGAGGCAACTAATAATAACAACAAGTCTCTAGGTTCCAATTGGGGGTGACGATAACATTCGCTGCAGGACAAAATATTATAAGAGTGGGATACCAAATTTAACAAACGGTAATAATTCAGAAGAAATATAAAAGAAGAAATTACCGTACAAGAGACCGAATCCACTGTGTGCGTCTTCGTGCGCCGTTGGACACAAAGCAATAACAATAAACAGAGTTGAAGGAGAAAGTAAGTCGAATATGTCTGATAACCAAGTCCCCAACGAAACAGAATCAAATCTCAAAAAAAAAACAATAAGAAAAGACAAAGGCTACGGGTATATCAGAAGAATCGTAGTCCTTGCTTGGAACCAGAGAGTTTAATCATATACCAGAGAGTGACGCACAAAACTTTAGAAAAACGGAGTCACGCAACGACGATGAAAAGAGAACTCGATGAACTCAAGCCTAGACCCAACATCAACAGCGGACGAAGAGAGAGAGAGAGAGATAACTAAAGAGAATTAGAATCAGAATTGGGAGAAATAGAGACAAGGAAGAAGATGAAGAGAAGTGTAAGAGAGTTTGTGTTTTTTTAGTTGATGACAATTTTTGGTAGAGAAACCCAAACTCCCGTTTATATAGAAGATGCTCTCTCACTTTTACTATTCCTGAAAGAAAAAAGGAAATATTTGAAATCGAAAAAATGGAAATATCTGAAAAAAAAAGGAAATAACTGAAACTACGTTGTTAAAAAGGAAAAAAAATAAAGGAAAAATTCTCCAACGGCTGTTTATGGAAAAATGGAAATTCACTAACGTTAATATTTGAGAAAAATAGAAATTCACACTAACGTTAATAACTGAGAAGATATAGAAATTCACCAACGTTAATAATTAGGGGGTCATACTAATCGATATGCAACAATCAATGTCATTACGCTAACTTAATTCATTTCTCGCATATTTTTTTCATAAAACATTCATACATGCTCTAATTAAGACTCAAATCACGACACCAATATAACGATACATATAAGTAAGTCAGCAACGAAATTAGTGAAAAGAACATCTATTTCTTGAATCTTATAATTATTAACTTGTAAATACATCATTACTTTTTTTTGTAAAGATGGGAGAATTCCAAAATTCTGATGGATACAATTACTTGTTCGGCGAAGCTGATGAAATCACCAAGAGACTCGAGGAATACCACAGAGAACGTGGTAGAGTACTCGATGATTCTCAAGTGCCTCATGTAAACAACTCTCCTATGGTCAATCATCACTATCAAAACCAACCAACGATCCCTACTACCCGTTACTATAATCCCATCTCATCTGAACACTACTATCACTCTTCACAAGACATTATTTCTCCTTCTGTTTATCATCGTCAGTTTCAAAGCCAACCTAACAGTACTCGACATGCTCTATGCTGGAAATGTTTGATATGGTGGCTAATATCGATGCTAAGAGGGTTGTTCGTACCAAGACCAACGTCGAGACCAATACATACACCAATACCCTTTAACTCCTATCCTCACCATTCACTCTCAGGCTCAGGTATACATATATTATATGGTTGGGGTATATATGACTCTGGTAACATGACTATTTTGATCAGTTGGTCAATATCAGGGTTAAGTGAAACGTAGTGAAATTAATTAACTTTTATTCCTTTAATATACGTTTGTAGAACGCTTTGGGGATCGACCAGACCAACAACATTACGATCATGTAAGAGTTAATATTTTTCACTATCATTTTCTCGCCTGGAAATTTTTAAAGATTATCTATGTTACAGTTGTTGTTTTTTTTTTTTTTGAAAAAAATATTACAGTTGTTTCTGTTGAGTCATGTTTCTGTAATCTTAATCAACAGCGGATACAAGAGCGTGAAAGAGTAGACATAGATGGAGGAGGTGAAGCATTATTAACAGCGAAACAAATTTCTCAGTTACCTACCGTCAAATTTAAACCTTCTATTCAAGATAAAACGTATATATATATTCTCTTAATTTTTCTTCTCTTTTTTTTTGTCTTCCAGTAATATTAATTTTTTTCTGATTATAAAATTACAAAGGATAGTATTCACTAATAATGTCACCACCAACATTAAAATCTAAAATTTACTTCTTCTAAAATCTAAAAAATATACTACAGTTTAGTTATATAGATGCTGTTAAAAGTTAATGACCATATATGCGTTGGGAAACAAAACAATACAGGTGTATGGCATGCCATTTAGATTTTGCTAATGGAGATAAAATGACGATTTTACCCTGTACTCACAAATATCACAAAGATTGCATTTGTCGTTGGTTCAAAGACAGTAAGGTTAATATCGGAATATCATCAGTAATTTTGTGAAAACCTTATAATTTATTTGCTATATTCAATGAAATTAACAACATTATTATCCTCTGTTTTTGTTATCTCCATCATTCTTGCAGCTTTGCTGCGTTTGCAAAAGGGAAGTGGTCGTATGACATTAGCTTTGAAGCCTTTGATCAACAAAGTTGCTCTCTCTTTTATCTTTCTTTTCTATATTGACATCTTCGACTCGATTTTATTAAAAAAAAAAAAAAAAAAAAATCAAACGTTTGTTTTATAGATTTTACCAAACAGATTTGTAAGAATAATAAAAACTGAAATAAAGAAAAGAAAGTTAAGAAAATTAGAGGGAAAAAAACAAAACGTACAAATGTGAGACTTCGAAATATGAAGAATGAAGAAAGGTGTTATGGCATAGCAAAGGTAAAGAAGCCATTGTTGTCATTGTAACAAACTAAGTCTATGGCTTTGGTTTATAACTATTTTTTTTTGTCTTTGAAACATGTCTAGCCAGGGTGAGTTGGGTGAGGTAGATGTGTCACAGACCCCAGAGGCCCAAACCCATTAGTCAAATTAAACTATATGAAAAGGAAAAAAAGAAGTCACATGAAAAGGGGAAAAAATGGTCCATGGGCCGGACCTATTGTGAAATTAATTAATGGATGTCTTGTCCGTAAGCTGTTGTTTTTGAAGTCTGACGCAGAAACTCATGTGGTCACCACAAAAGTGCCACTTGTTTGTGGACTGCTTGTGCCTTGTGGATTGGATTTGTGGTGGAACTTGCTATTTTGTCTCTACAGAGTCTGTTTTTTTAACAAAATAAGAGAAAGATACATATAAAGATAATAGAGTTCAATGATTCTGCTTTGTAGGATCTGTTTCATTAGCAATAAGATTTGCTTACTCATGACCCAATCCTCACGACACCAAATTCTTGTATCACACACAAATAATGAAATTTACAGTTTGGTTATTGTGTGTGAAATTAGTTAGTGAGCCAAAAAAAAATAAAAAAATTCAGATATTTCGTGACTATGTTAAACTTGAGAAATCTATAACAATTAAAGTAAAGGAGCCAATGAATCACAAAACTAAACCTAACAAAACTCCCTAAAAATAAAAATAAGCTGTTGAGTAAACGCCAAATTTTTTAAAATATTATTTCACATATACGCAAAATTATGACCATGATGTACATTGTCTAGTAATTTGTGATAGTGATCGTTTTTTTTGTTGTTGTTATTGTTGAGAAGCATAACTAAAATATGGTGTAGAAAAAATTAACTATATGTTTGAATTTTCTCATTGACATTGACACAGATGGGTTATCTGTATTTAGAATAGAGACAACCAAACTGATACAGAACATTGTGAAAAAAAAAACACAAACAGAAATTAGATAATACAAAGAAAAAAAATGTGGAAAATCATATAATATACATTTGTGATTACTGATGATGAGACATAACAACAATACCATTAGCTGTCACTCTTTTATTTTATTTATGATTTCTTTTTAAAAATTTATAGTATATAGTTTTTTTTTAAAAGAGTTGCAGAGAAAAATAAACATTTACTTCACTTTGTTCAGACGTTTCTTTATTCTTCTTCTTCCTTCATCCTTCATCTTCTTGATCGTGTTCAGAAATCATATTCATCACCCTCTCTCTCTCTTGTCTCTCTCTCTACATTTGGATTCTTTATAACATGTGAGATCGATCTCTTTTTGATCAGAGAGAGAGAGAGAGACGAGTAGAAGAGAAGAAGCAAAGAATCTTGTAAAGAAATGATGAAAATGAAGACGGGATCGTCGCCGTCGGTCAGCGGTGGAAGTAGTGGTAATGAGTGGGAGTACCGACCAGGAGGAATGGTTGTTCAACGTCGGACGGATCAGAACTCCGAAGTGCCACGTGTCATTCGTATCCGGGTCAAATACGGGTCGGTTTATCACGAGATTAACATCAATTCCCAATCTACCTTTGGTAAAACCAAACGCAACATGATCCAAATCTTTCTTTTTTTGTTTTCTGGTCTTTCGAGTTCGGCATTTATAGAAAGATTAAAAAATAATTTGTGGGGAGTAATTTTGGTTTTGTTGAAACAGGAGAGTTGAAGAAGATGCTGTCTGATCAGGTGGGACTTCACCATGAAGACATGAAGGTTTTGTACAAAGACAAAGAGAGAGACTCGAAGATGTTTCTTGATCTTTGTGGAGTTAAAGATCGGTCAAAGCTCGTCGTTAAAGAAGATCCAATTTCTCAGGAGAAACGTCTCCTTGAAAAAAGGAAAACCGCCGCCATTGATAAAGCTTCCAAGTCCATCTCTGACATTAGTCTCGAAGTCGACAGGCTCGCCGGACAGGTACCTTTTCTATATTAAAGAAAAAAAACAGAGCTTTTTAATTAACGGCGACTCTGTTTCTCAAAGTTGGAATCTTTCGATTTTAAGGTGTCGGCGTTTGAGACAGTGATTAATAAAGGAGGCAAGGTTGAAGAGAAGAGTCTCGTGAATCTGATAGAGATGTTAATGAATCAGTTGTTGAGACTTGATGCTATTATGGCTGATGGTGATGTCAAATTGAAGAGGAAGATGCAGGTTTGTATATACTTAAATTACTTGGGTTAATTTCATTTTTATGAATCTCTAGATTATTTTTGATTGGTTAATTTATGTATGATTTGGATTTTAAAAGGTGCAAAGAGTTCAGAAGTATGTTGAGGCCCTTGACGTCTTGAAAGTCAAAAACTCTGCCAAAAAAGTTGAAATCAACAAGTCGGTCCGCCACAAACCGCAAACGCAAACGCAGTTTAAACAACGCGATTTGCTATCGTTTGTGGAGGAAGAGGAAGAGGAGCAGCCTAGGAATTCCAATGCCTCCTCATCCGGTACTCCCGCGGTTGTGACTACTACCAAATGGGAGATGTTTGATTCCGCAAAGGCGGCAGAAACGGCTAAACCTGTCCCTCCAAGATTCAAATGGGAATTCTTCGATTAAAGCTAAACCACTCATACATACACGATCGATAAATATGTTTTTTTCTCTTTCTTTTTCTTTTAAATCCGATTTCATATTGTGATTTGTTATGTTTTTCATCTCAGTTGGGGTGTGTATGATTTGTGATTTGATCTTGGCTATTTTTTTGAGGCTTTGTTTAGAATATCTTTGGTTGGTCTCCCCTTTAAGTCAATTCACAAATAACAGTGGGAGTTTCAAACAATTTACTATCATTGTAATACCTAAAGATTTGGATTTTTCTTTACTATTACAATAAAAAAGTTATATCATAAGAGCATGCAACTGTTTTTTCTTCTTCTTTTAAAAGCATTGCATTGTTTTCAGTTGCAATTTACATCATCTTGGAATACACACTGGATCGTATATGTAGTATAATTGTTACTTTGTTAGTAAATTTATCAGATACAACTCATAAAGTCTTGTGGTTTTACCGTACGTTTTTTTTTTTTTTGGGCAAAACCGTACCGTACGTAGTTTTGTTTTGTTTATTTACAAGAAATCGCAATGTATAGTTTTTATTTAGGATCAATGAATGTTTTACCAATAATTAACACTCTTTTTATTCAGATTAAAGGATAGTTTAATTTTGTTTAAAATATTTAATTCTCCAAGATACTAGAATAAGTTTTGTTGTCTAACTCATGGCGTGAGTAATCAATCACATTGTTATTCAGAAACTGAATTATAGACATGTACAAAATCGTCAAAATCTAGTTAATGATAATGGAGACATAGGTTTTGAATTTTGATTGGTGATGTGATTCAGTGGTGAATACATCATATGCGTGCGTGTTATCATTTACAATTATGATTGTTTTGTTTCTGAAAACAATAGTAATAAAAAATAGTGAAATAACGGTGGTTGTGAATTTGTGATCCACAACAAAGTAACCTCTGAGCAGACATATTTGACAGCTTTGTATAAATTAGTGTTAAACGTTTCTAACAATATTTTTTCAAAATTTTGTTCTTGCATTATAAGATGCTTTAAAATAGTTATTCTACATCAGGATTTGATGATTAGCTAACTGTTCTGTTTTTTTTGGGGCATTTTGTGTTATTGTGTGGTTGGTTCCTCTTTTGTTATGCATCAAATTAAGTAGTCAACCATATAATCAAAGGATTAAAGAGACTAGAGAAAAAAAAAAAGGACAAGAAAACAAAGCAGGCATGTTGGTAACACATGCCAATCATAACATTGAATATGTTTCTTGTGGAATTGGTAACTTCTGGTGACCAAAAATTATATTCATTGCTTCCTGCTAAGGCTACAAAGTTAGAACGAGAGAGGGAGGGAGGAAGAGAGAGGGAGAAAAAAGAACATGTTTAGGTAACAAAAACCTAATCCTCCAATGGTCCATTGACATGAGAAAAGGCAAAGTACAAAAAAGTTCATTAAGGAAATGATTTAGATTTAGTTAATCTTGCTATTATTATTTTAAAAAGCCAACACACAATTTTTAAGGTCTTGCTATATGATTACTCGTTTATGGTAACCAATAACAATTAATGAATTAATTATATGATACATCAAAATAATTTATTGTGACATGATTTGTACTCAATAAGAGAAAAAAATTATTGCGTTCTATCGCAAAGAAATTGGGTATGGCTCTAAATGTTTCCTTGACAAATATTTTTGGGCGAACAATAAAAATGAGAGACATTTTTCACTTTTTTTTTTTTACTTTGGACAACTTAGGTTGGCTCTTTGGAAAGAGCTGGAGTGAAAAATAAGGATTGTAATTTCTTTCCTTTCAGGTTTTGCAATCTACGCAGGCGGCTAAATGTATTTTTATAGTGAAAAACAAGGATGATATGGAATTGACTATTGTAGATGAAAGTAAATATTTGTTATTTGGAAACTGAATATTTTTTAAAGTCACCAAGATACTAATGTTAATTTGAGGTTTATTGCTTAAACCAGTTTAATCTTGACAGTTGACAATTTGATATTTCGTCCATCTTTATAGGCTGGAAAATATTTAGATGTACAGTAGTAGTATTATTGATTTGACATTGGACTTAGGACTTTCGATGGTTTGACATCAAACCAAACGTTTATTCGAGGACTCCTTCTTGAATTACTTAAAACAAGTCATTTTTTAGTTGCTTTTTCCATCCAAAGACTTGCAATATATTAATAGCGTTTATGTTTCATAATTTTGCTAGAGAAGAATGAATTTAGAAACCGAAAGAAGATATATCATCACATCTCAGGGACTACAGAAAATTTGTGAAAATTCGTAACAATAGCTAGAACGCTGAATTAAAAAAAAAAACCGCACAGAAGAAAGAAAAGAAAAACATTGTTTTATGAGAATATTGCACACAGTACACACATCTAGAATTGAGTCACAAAGATATGACTCCCCGTGACAAATAACCATAAATTCTTTTTAGTTTTTTTTTTCATAAACAAAAATGAAAAAAATCTACAATAAAAATCAGCTTCAACCACAACATGGTTTTTTTTTTTTAAATATAATTTAACATATTTTAATATTCAAAGTAGGATATGTGCTATATATATATATATCCCATTTGAAATCATTGTACTATTTCATCGTTTGAACATATAATATATGTATGTAACATAAGCAAATGATATTACTATATAACCCAAATAGAAAATCTTATATATTAAAAAGTTCTCAGATATTACATAATATTCTACATTTAATAAAATTACTGAAAAGACACGATAACCAACACTTAGAAATATATTACATAACCTAACTCATACTTCTTTTTTTTCATATAGTTTCTTTTTCATATATATATAAAACTACTAGCTAGGTATCGCCGGTTTGTTTATTCATCCCGCTTTGAGAACATCATGGCTTGGATAACTCTCTTTAATCCATGTCATCGTTGAAGAGAGTGTTCATGAAGTCTTCATCAACCAATTCCTATATATATAAAATAATGAACCTTGAACTTCAAATAAAACTATATAAAAATAATCTCTTTTAATTATTATGAATGTTACTATATCTTTTTACCTGCGAGTCCAAAAGCGACAAATCGGTAATATCATGATTAACAACATCTTGTTCCTGAAATATCAAGTCCAAGTTTTAGAATATATTTACACTATTAGTTCATTTGTATAAAGTATGAACATATATTGTTAGACGGAAATATTTTAGAATGACATATAATTTACCTGACTTTGATGATTAGGGTTCGTGGTGAAAGTTGGAGGATTCGTCTCTGGAGTAGCGAAAGTGTGATTCATCTCTACAGCAGTCAAAGTGTGATTTGTCTCCAGAGCATCAAAAGTGTTGGCTATTTCTCCAGTAGAATGATTCTTCAAGACAAAAGCCATATATTATGTCAATAACCCATACTATTTGATTTTCAACACGATCTAATCTTTGACAGAGAGTTGGTTCAAATTCTCTTTCGTAATTGCTAAGATTTTTTACTTATAATATGTAAATACCTGGTTTACATTCCAAAAAGTCCAATCACCATCTTCTTCAAGAGATAAAATATGATTCAGTTCAGCCGAAAAATTTGCTGAGAGATCAAATTTAGCGGAATCCTCTTCTCTTACATGCTGTTGCTACATCCACACACCAATATTTAAATACACAAGTAATTCATAAATATGTATATAGATCATTGAAAAATTGAGGTAGTGAAGACATATATATACCTTGTTGTGATCGAATATGAAATTATTGATGTTGTAAGGAAGCTCATTAGCACTGTGGAGATCACTCGATAAATTAAGATTCTCTAGTTGATGAAGTTCAGGATGTGGTTGTGCAGTAGCATCGGCATGTGGTTGGTTGTTACATGCAGTGCTCTCATTGTTTAAGAGCGATTGCATCCCATACGAGAAGTGGCCAAGTCCTTGTTGATTTGGAGTGAAACTTCCAAAGCTACTCATCATGTTATTGTTGAAACTATTACCACTAATAGCTGACGGTCCAAGTTGTCCAAAACCAAGAACTTGAGATGTTTGGCCGATTTTGTTCGCCATCACAGGTGGTTCAAAAAAGCTTATTTTTTCTCCATTTTGGGATGGTTGGTTTGAGAGACCGAGGTTGCTTTGGGTGGGTAGCGTCAAGTTTGATCCAGATCCAATACGGTGTGGCTCATAAGTAGAGGACCGGTTCATGTAGTTGTAAGACATATGGTTGAAACGAACAGGCTCACGTGTGTTTGACAATAGTCTCGACTGTCCAAAGCCGTGTCCGGGTTTGGAATAGTATGATCTGTTGTTAAGACTTGTCTCATACCAAGAAGTAGATGGTGTGTAGTGGTTGAAGTAGGGCTCCTTGATGTGAGTATATCGAAACATCGAGTCTATGCCTCTACTGGACATCATGCTCATCAAACCTTGTTCCGCCACTTTTCTCAAGAATATTCGATATTTCTGGGGTAACACATGACAAACGATTTTGAGTTAGCTAAATAGAATAAAATGATACGCGATTCTAAGCTCAAAATTTGTAGATTTTATGCTTAATTAGATAGTTAAAGTTTTTTTTGTTTGATTCCAATGAATATTATTCCATATTTTAAACAATAAAATCTGGGTTTCAAAAAAAAAAAAAAACAATAAAATCTAAAAACATTATTGACAAGAGATATCATACCTGTAGGTGGCTCGCTACATTCTCTCTTGTCAGGTATGGTACGTTCATGAACGCTAAGATCTTTTTTGGCACAGCCTCTTTGGAAGATTAGTAAACAAAAATAAAAGATTAGTTAGTGTGTCTTCTTTTGGACAAATATACATGTATATCCTAAATTGTAAGAAAATAAACAGTGTATCATGTATCAAAGCACTTACTATCAAGACCAATATGTCGGATAGCTTGTAAGAATAGGTCGTGAAGACCATCCGTCCACGTAATCTTAGCCTTCTTGGATGGCTGCGACGGATACTCACCATTTGCACTAGGACCATCGGTAGGTTTTCTTTTCCGATTTTTTCTTGAACCATCGATACTAGCACGGCTTCCATGCGTACTATTCATGGATCTTGAATCAGATTTAGATGGCCATTTCTTCTGGGTATTCAAGAGATTGACTTGTTCTGGAAGCATCTCGATTTGCTCGGGGACACTAACACATGTGTCCTTGGGGTTGGGCTCAGTGCATATTGTTGACTTACCATTCGTCTTGTAGGTTAAAGCAAGTTGGTAAATCTTAGGTAGATCAATTGGTTTTATGGGTTTTGGAAGGAACCCTAGCGCTCCACAAGTTAAACTCTCCTGCTCCTTATTGGCATCCGCTGACATCACTTTTTATTTTTAAAGAAATGTAAAGTAATAAGGTTAAATACATCTTACAAAATAATATAATAAAAGTATTATCATTTGATTTTAAGTTGTAAAGAAAAAATATATACCTATGACTGGTAGATTTCCAAATTCTTCAGTGATTTGTTCTTTGAGTTGTATACCATTCATGTCAGGCATGTAATAATCTGTGATGATGAGATCGATATTGTTCCGTTGAAGTTTAAGAGTAGACAATGCTTTTATCGGATCTCCTTCAGCTATAACTCTGATGTCCATAACTGGATCTAAAACCAATTTAACCAAAATAAAATTTAACATGAAAAATGTTGCAAGTACTACAAATTATTACTTTTGTGGTTGAACCTTTGTTCCCTTTACTTATATTTTCGGGCATATCCACGAAACAAAATTTTCAACATCAATCATAAAAAATCTCACAAATTTTGAGAAAGTTCATAATATAAGCATAACATATTCTTAAAAAATCACAACATTTTCAGAAAAGTTCTATAAATTCTTGTGATTGAAAGGCTAATTGGTTGATTACTTATAAGAAAAGTGGATTCGAAGAATATAAATTAGCTTTAAATTAGCATTATAAAAATTATCAACAAAAAATGTTAGTTTAGAAAATCATCAGAATAAGAATACCTAAATTGAAATTGTAAATGTGTGCATGTAATTAGAATTCAAATCTTGATGGATAATTTAACCCAAAAAAAAGATCTGGACTATGCCATCTTCAAGGTTTTAATTGACTCATGTTTAAGTTTATTTATAAATCTGCTAGTTGTTTCTCCAAAAATTGTATTTTCATGCCAAAAAAATGAAACTACAAAAAGACATCAATAAACATATTATATATGATATAATAGGATCGTACCTCTGTATTTAGACTTTTCAAGCATGCGCGAGATAACATTAAGAAAAACAGGATCATCGTCCACAACCATGATGTTGATTCTCAAGACAGAACTTTGGTTGTGGAAAGATTCAACAAAAGCCATTTTCTTAATCTTTGTATAAAGTTTTTTTTTATTTCAACTCTGGATGAACTACTTAGGTTGCACAAACCTCAATATATAAAGGGGTGTAAAGTAACACATAAATATAACATTTGGCAAAAATGTATTGGTGTATAGATAAGTATTTTTTTGTAAAAAGAAATAATAATAATAAGATAAATGAAAAGTTAATTTAATTTACTATTTTTAATAATAATATTAAAAAATAAGAAAAGTTGAAAAATATAGAAAAAAAAGATACAACAAAATACTACCATTGCTCGAAAATACCGTGTGCTAATTAATGTAAAAATCTAGGCTAAAGTAAGAAAATATTAATGTTATTTGCCAATAATTTTTGGATAGATTTAAGCCAAAAAAAAAGAAGCTAATTCTACAAAATATATTTTCAAATTTCTATTGTTTCTCCAGATTTTTTTGTTTCTTGTTTAGGATTGATTTTCATATAGATTTTTAACATCTTTGTTGATTTGTGTTATAAAGAGAAAATATTAGATTAGTGTATGTATAAATTCAAAAATAAGTTAAAATTTTATTATTATTTTTATAATGAAATTCATCTATATAATTTTTTTAAATAAAAAATTATAATGCAGTTAAATTTAGAAATTTTATTTTTGAGCTTTCTTTTTTTTAGGTTTGTCACACTTTTTTCTGGTGATTGTACCATTTGGTTCAAGTTATTTTACTACGATTTCAACCATAGTTAGTTATTTAACTTAAAGTTAAATGTGTGCATTCTAATATTTACTTACGATTTAAAAATTGACCTTACAAATAAATAATATTTTTATTACTAACATTTTTTTATCTAAATTTTTACTACTAAACTTGTAATATAAATTATATATGGGAATTAATAACATGTATTAAATATATTTACTTTAAAAAATATATGTAATATGAAGATTACGCGTGTCGAAACGTTGACAATACTAAAACATGACAAATAGATTTGAACCGTTATAACTAATAGAAACGACGAAACTGTATCTGAACTTTTGTCACCATTGAGATACTTCCGTTTATAGTTATTATATCTGGAGACAGTTTTGGTACTTTAGTATAACGATTTTAACGATGTCTTGTCGATAGTATAAAAACTCAAACTATGATTTTTTAAAAATTGGTATTGCATCAGTTAAAATCTAGCATTTTCCTATATTCAAATTATTATTTTCAATTTAAGTATATCAAATAAATGGCTAAAACAATTTTTTTGGTCTAAAAGTGTGATTTATAGTGATCGAATAATCACATCCAATAAAACTATACTTTCATTATTTTAAATCATTAATATTTTTATAATACTTTAAATTTGTAATATAATTTTTTAAAATATATATTTAATATATGAAAATAATTTATATTTAAAAAATGAAAAAGGTTCTTAAAATGTTATTATTGCAAAGAAGATATAATTAATTTGCTGTAATAAATGTTTTTCTGTACAATGTATACAGTCGCTGCTAGCTTTTGATTCTCAAAATTTCTTCTAATTACCAAAATTTTACAGGTAATAATAATTCTTAATTTTTTTCTAGTGATATTGTTTTGTTCTAGTGATAATCAAAAGTCAAAATCTAAGTCAGTTCTTTTTTAAACGTCTGGCTTGCTCGTTGAGTGTGAAAGTTTATTTTCGAAAAAGCGTCCGTTAAGTAGAGTAGGACAATAAAATAAGTGATGAGAATCTAATATGTAACAAAAAGGTAAGCTTGCATGCAAGACTATAGATTTTCTAATTAATGGCTTTTAAAGTTTTTTTCCAGTTTAGTTAGACACTGATTAATTAATGGGAAGCTAACGTGGTACTGGTGGTTTTGTAATTAGGCAAAAAATAAACGAGTAATTAATCAATATAGTTAATAGAAATCAGCTTTAACTGTCGTTACAAAAAAAAAAAAAAAACAGCTTTAACCGTATTGACAATTGTAACCAAGATGAAGTGAACAATGATGATTATGAAGATACTCACTGAAGACTATATTAAAAATAATTTTATATAATAAATATATGTTACCTTAATTTAATTTTAATAACAATATGTGTTTAACGACTATGTAATGAAATCCCAAATAATTAATTGAGAAGCACCATATATATAAACCTAAGACTTTAATGTTGTAAGATATTAGTATTACTTTGATGATTTGATGTATTTTTGTGGATTATATACATGTAAAAATCTTCAATGAATCTTGCTAAAATCTCTTATGCTATAAATAAATCATTTTCTACCTTGTTTCTATATAAATATTTATTTTAAAACAATATTGTAATTTATTCATATTATATTAGATTAGTAATTGAGTATTGTACATGTGTCGATTTATATAATCAATCCTTCTCTGATTGGGTATTAGGCCCGTATATGTTGGCTTAAAAGTATGAAATTCTTTAGGCTAGTAAGGTAATCGAATGAACCCAGTGTATCGTAATAGCCTACGCATCTCACACATATCCAACCAAAATTATTGTGAAAATGCATGCTACCCCAATTAAATCCAATTATTTTTATTAAATCCATTTTATTCCGTTCGAACTTGTAAATCCTAGGCCATATCTATTATCATAACTGAACGTCGCATGTTGTAGGGATTTTATAGATCAACCAAACCAACCATGTGGTATACAAAGTCACTAATTTAAATTACGATGCATCATACTATATTAGTGGTGCATATGCAAAGCAAAAGAAAAGGTAGTGCAGCGATGAATTATTTTCTTGTTACTTTTCATTAGACAATGAAACTCACCAGTTTAAAAGTTAGTGTCCATCAATCAAATAACACATATCTTTCTTTCCAACCAAATTTTTTTTGAGTTTTGGAATGTTGGGTCAACGGCAATTCACTAATAACCAAAAGTCGTCGACGACGTCAATAGGAAAGAGTGAAAGACATATTGTGGACGACTGCTATATTTAGGGTTAAAAAAATGGCCTCACTAATGTCACTTTCCCTCTTAAAGCGACGCTATCTATCTGTCAAATCCGACATTGCACACTATTAGTTCATTGGTAAGCACCAACACAGAACATGATATTATATGTTTAGATATGGGCACTTTTGTAACGAAGTGTCTCAGTGGATCCCAAAAGGACATGTTAACTAGACTACTATATAGTAGTAGAGTAGAGAGTTAGTATAAATAAAGAAGTCAATATACTCCATCATTTGTATATACCCAAATTGCTTTGCACTGTTAACAAACATTATCCAAATATACACTTCCTCCTAAAGTTGTAAAAACAAGATCTCTTATTATATTGTTGCTGAGTAAAATGTAGGCAAATTGGCCTGACTGGTTTTTAAAGTAAAAATGGAATGTGGCAGTGAGAAGATTGGATAAGGTTAATTCATCTTCTCCGGTATCTCAACTTGCTTATACAACGCAAAACCTTAATACAACCATTAAATAGCATATGATCTTAAATCGCTTTGATATCTTAACGTTACGTAAAAAAAAAAGAGAAGATCAGTTACGGTCCACGGAGAAGGTTGCATGATTTAGGGTATAGTACTCTTTGGCAATTAGCAAACAAAGAGTCAAAGACCACCACCTATCACAACACAGACGACCAATTCGATATACTCGAGGATGAAACTCACTCTATAAACTAATGAGAACGGTTACGTTAAAGTGGTAATATGCGTTTTCTTCTTTTTTTTTATGAAAGAAGAAGACAATTTTAGGTGAATACAGAAAGCTTCTTCCCAAAAAAAAAAGAAAACGAAAAAAAAATAAAAGTAAACACGAGAGAAGACATAACTCGTAAGTATCTCCATACGCGTTGAAGCTGTGTCTCACTCACAGTCACAGACATAATTGAAAAATGTTGTACTGCCACACTCGTCTCTCTCTCCACAAGAAGACAACCTTAACCGATCTTCATATCTGTGTGTGTTAATTTGTGTCAAGCAACCTCAACTATTTTTAATTTCATAACTAATCGATCCTTATCTTTTCGTAATTAGTATCTTTACTATTCTTTTTTTTTTTTGGTTTAAATCTTTACTATTCTTCTTACTAACTATAACACCTCAATATAATCAATTTATTTTGAGAGACTAAAAATCTTTTTTTTTTAATGATAATAATTCAATTCGTTAAATATTTTTATTTTTATTTTGTTTGAAAAGGGGTTTCAACGTGTGTAAGTTAACCCCTTTTTAACGTTAAGGGAGGTGCTTAGTGAGTTTCATAAGTTTATTGTGGACAAAAAATAAATCAAAATTGAACAATTAAATAAAGAGGGAGCCTAAACTAAGGGGTTTTAGAAGCTGTGTTTAGGGGTACTTAAAGACACATGGCAATTACTCATTGGTAAAAAATATATTCATCTCTTTCTCTTTCTATAATTCTTTCTCCCTCTAATATTTTTATTTAATCAAATTTTATTAATGAAATGTTGTTAAGCATTCTTTTAGAGGTTCACAAATGGAGGTGGTCTTAGTATCCTGCTAGAATGCTACTTATAACGTGTTTGTTGCGTTTTATTCCATTTTCTATAAACATGCATGCACTGAAAATAAAAAAACAAAATTAAAATACTAATTAAAAAGCAAAAAAAAAAAAAAATCGTTTACTCAGCTTAAAATGATGAAACGTTCGATTCTATACCAACAGCTGTTATATTACTTTATACCAAAAACGCATACATTTATTTTTTAATCAACTGTTCGGATTGCACCAAGTCAGCTAAAACATTCTTGTGGTTGGATACCACCACCATCTCCGCTCTCGTTGTCACTCACGGTTGGGACTTGGGAGCGTTGTAATGGGCCTCACCAAGCCCAACAGTTTTCCTTACGATAAATGATGACCGTTTCATTTTCTTTTAGTCACGATGAAACTGTCGGTCTTTCTTATCAACAAACAACTTTAAACGGACGGATTTAGATAAATGATGGGTTTGATATTGCTGATTGATCTGGTTTATAGCTAACAGAATAGTTATCAGTGTGCATAAGTAAAAGCGAATGATCGTATTGTGAAATGGTACAGACAAAAAATAAA